CCACGAAGAATTGAGGCAGTTCTGAAGGCAAAAGGGGGTCCAACCCGTTACTAGCGTGGTGTACCTAATAAAGTGGCCGGTGAGTGTATGCAGTGAAGCATATTTACATTCTCATTATTCCTCAGCAGGGAGTGTAACCTTCAGTCCCACTCACCTCCTGTAGGGGTCCTCATAGGTCAGGAACAGGGTCTTTTTGGGAAGCTCCCAGAGGAAGTTTTCAAACTCTTCCTCTGAGTGATCCAAACTAAAGAAAGAAAAAAATCACATTATTGGTGTCTTTCCAAGGCAAGAAAACACCTTTAGGTATTAAAATGTGTGGGTCTTTGTGTTTCCATGTTCACATTCTAAATTATAGGCTCATGACATTTAGAAAGAAATGTAAATATTCAGATTCAGGTCTTCATAATTGAAATTGTAGATTTTGTGTTTACAAACTTTTTCACATATAAAACGTAGCTTTTAAAGATAAAAGCTGTACAGGTCTACATTTAGAAGTCAATAAGTTTCAGAAGAATTAAACAAAATTATGTTTGGGTTTGTTGTTTTTGCTGCTGATGCTAAAAGTGTTCAACAAATATTAAAATCATAAGATTCTCAAGGCCAATTGTACATCTTAGACATTCACTCATAACATTTTCATGAAATTCACATATTGGAACTTATGGTGGGCACTCATGCCTATAGGTGGCCGGATGGCACCACTCTTGCCTCCTGTACCTGTGCCCACCCCCCAAGGTTTGCATATAGACACTTAGGGTTTTGGGTTAGAGTAGTGGTGGAGGGGAAACTGGCACCACGCCGGCCTCTGTCTCTTCTTCTTTCCTTTTTTCAATTGCTCTATAGAACAACACGCATCAACAGTACATCTGGGGGTGGGGTTGTGGGTGTCAGGGTCTTTATTCCCATCCCGTTCCCCAACTGCCATTTGGGGAGGGGGTCCTGAAAAAGGGTGGACCGCCGGGTGAGGTCCTGGGCTGTGGGTGGGCTCGGGGCTTGGACGGTTGCCGGGGGCAGGGCTGGCTCTCCGTCCACCCTGGTGCTGCTTGGTCTCCTGGAATGTGGCTCTTGGTTCCTCCTGTGGGTGGCCCGCTGGCCGGGGTGGCTGCTGGGTTCCGGGGGGTGGATGGCTGGGGGGGTGCACTTGGTCGCTGGCGGTGTGGTGGGGT